CTTCATCTCCTGTCACCTCCCAGAATGCAGTTACCTAGAGGGATTAAATTGCTCACAGATTTTAGACATGACACCACACTCTCCCGTTTTAGGCATCCTACGCATTTTTGTGCTTCTCACACAGTAGGCACACAGTAGGCACTCAATAATCTTCCAATCAAACGTTTGCCTGGAATTCCCTTTACACCTTTCTCCACCTGGCAAGCTCAGTTTATAAGTCCCTGCTCCAGGAAGGCTGCCCTGAACCCCCAGGTGGGCTACATTCTCTTCCACAGCATCCTGTACACACATGCTTCATGGTATTTACCACGTGCTACTAAAACTGTTCATTCTTCCTCATTAGAGCATTATTAGCTCTTCTAAAGAGGGGTCAGGTCTAAGGCATATTTGCATCCCCAACACTTGGCACACAGTAGGTGCTCCATAAATGCTCAGCTCTTAAGTAAGGCCAGCCGCCTGTCCCAGATGGAAACTGCATCCCAAACACCTCCCAAGACCCACTACCCTTTCCAGCAGCTTCAGGTTTCCAGAAAGTTCAGTCAACAGCCAGCCAAACCCACTTCCTGCTCCTTCTCCTGAGTTAAACCTTGGTTTTTGCCCCCTGGCTGAAAATAGAGGAAACTGGAGGAGGGGGAGTTTCTTGAAATTCCTGTTCATCAAAGCTACTGTTCGTGCTTCAAGGCATTGGTACTGTCTCCACCTCCTGGTCACCTAGGGCAGTAGAGACAGCAAATGCTGTACCTTGTTAAGAGAAATCAGGAACTCAGTGACTCAGGAGCCTGAGGTGGGCCCTCAGACCTAGGCAGTAAATGTAGACATACAGCCTCTGGCATGCAGCTTGTAAGAGTTGTACCATTTTGTTTTTGTGCCACTCAAAAAGAATGAGGTACTCTGCCAGTTCTTTCCTGTGGCTTTAGAACAGAACTGTCTTTCTAGATGCTAATATGGCTCCCCTGGGGTTGCCTAGAGGAGCCCAGCAGTTTAGAAGGAACTAGGCAGTAACCATCCCACTGGAGTCACTGAAGGGCTGGGGCTGTGTCCTCTGGCTCAGGGTCAGATGGGGGTGGGCGCATGCCTGGCTTACACTGGACTCTCAGACACCACAGTGCTGACTGCTGGGCAAACCCGAGGACTAGAGAAGACAATGCTTTCTGCCAGCATCCCCTGGCCCATCAGTGAGCACTCCACCTGGGGAGGCAAGAACTCCTCACAGGAGGGTTCTGAGGATGCTCATCATTCTGCTTTGCCCACCTGCATGCAGCCCAAAGAGAGGTCTTGCTGGGTGGGGGTTCCCCTTCCTAGGTAAAGGCAGAAGTCTGTTCCTTCCCACAGCCTTGGAGCGGGGACCTAACACCTGACTCAAAGTGCTAAGAGAACAGTCTTAGCAGAGGCTAAAATGACAATGAGTCTTAGGAAAGGCTCACGGGCCCATGATGGCAGATGTTGGCACACTGTTGGCTCCCACATCACCTAAAAATCAGTTCTGAGGCGCCTGCCTAGAATGCAAGCCCTACACTGCCACCCCCAACTCCTCAAGCTTCTCTGAAACAGTACTGCTCACTTCGTCTCAACCTGCCTCACATTGCCGGTTAGCTATTTCACATGAGTTTGTTTTGTCCTCTCCACTATAATTTAACTTCTAGAGGACAGGGGCCTTGTCTTACACATTTCTTCCACATTCTCCTCAGCATCCAGCACAGTACTGGGCACAAAGAGGGGACTCCAAAACAAGTATTTTGTGTGTTAAATTCCACGGCCAAGTGCCCATCCACAATTCTATCTTATCAATAAAAGAGATCTCCACGAGGGCTTGCTTCCTTTTAAATGTCATGTCTTAGCTTTGGAGTCTCTGACAAAACTTGTTTCTGTTTTGGGGGCCCTGATTTTAACCTGTCTGTGGGACTTTACAAAGTACTCAGAAATATCCTCTTGGCAGAGAGAGGGTTTGGGTGGAAATGCCTCAGGACAGAGAGTGCCCTCGGCAGCCATTACCCAGCATGCCCTCGGCCCAGGAGCCTGTCCTCAACTTCTCTCAGCCTCTGTGGGGAGAAGGGAAGAGCACTTGCAGTGAGGAATCTCGAGGTGTGACTCCCTGAAGTCTGAGGAGGAGGAAAAAGGAACAAGCGCTGCAAGGAAAAAGAGCAGTCGAGTTTCGGGGATCGATTTTATTTGGGCTTCTCACAGTGGTTAGAGCCACTCCGTCTTCAGAATAATCACAGCACAGGAAATGCGTCACCGAGACTGCCCAGAAAAGTCTGACCAGCTGAATCTTATTGCTTAAAATACACATATTCACAATAACTGACAAAAGGTGATGTGCCTCACACGGGAATGTGTTAGCATTCGCAAATCTTCCGACTGTAGCACCAAACCCTCGACCAACCCCTTTCTTCTCGTTCCCCTGGAACACCAGACTCCCTCAAATCTCCCCCGCCCCCTCACGAGTCCTTCAGCTCCCTACTTCCGTCTTTCGTCACGCAGGGCAGCCTCGTGTAGCAGGGGCCAGACTGTGACGCTGGACTCAAGCCCAGCTCCACCCGTTGCGTTTTCTTCTTCTCGTGCCTTTTGGGTTGGATGCTGCAGTGAACCCAGCAGTAAACACGTGGACCAGTTCCCCACTCTGACTGGAGAAGGAATCCTGAGAGGGCCAGAATCCATCCCTTCGACCAGTTAACTCAAGCAGGGTTCATTTTGGTAAAACTTGATCTCCTTTGAGACACTTCAGTGAGTTGTTTGAGACAAAAAGAAAAAACAAAAAACAAAAGGTGGTAGGAAAGGCATCTGAGGGCTGTGGCACACTTCTGCCCACTCTCGCCACACATCGGCCATGCGCTGGACCTCAGCACAGGGAGGTAAGCCCTACGGCACTGTGGTGGCCGCCAAACCCTCCTGGCAATTCTGGGCAGGGCTGACGTCTGGGCCACAGCCAGTCCGAGCTTGACACTGAAGATCGAGTCCAGCTTCTGTCTGAGGTTCCACCCTGGCCTTCTGTCCCGATTGGTTGTGGACACCCCCGGGGGCTGAGGCCGAGGGCCAGGAGCAGCCGAGGGAGGCAGACAGGCTCAGAGCACGTTTCCGTTTACAGGGAGCAGAACACAGGCCTCTGAGTGTCCACGGAGCAATGTGCAAATTGCAGTGATGGGTAGAGTAAAACCTCTACTTGGAGCACAGCATCTCTGGCAAACGTGGGGACTGCCGCCAACGGCGCTGCTGAGTACACCCAAGTGCACAGTCAGACATTTGCTCAGTAAACAGTAAATGCGTAAAATAAATTACCTTGAGAGGGCTGCGCCTGCTCCAAACGTGTGGGTAACGTGAGCAGAGTGGCTGCCGTTCAAAGTATATTCACAGGAAAACAGGGCTGGGGGCTCACACACAACGGACAGACACACACAGGTTATCCAAAAAGTCACTGTATACAGACTGCACTTTGTTCAACATGGATTTTGGTTTTGTGGACTCCAAACTCAGACACTCGTTCACCTCACAGCCTTGGATTTGTCTATTTTGTGTGTGTGTGTGTGTGTGTGTGTGTGTGTGTGTGTATATATACACACACACACACATACACATATATACGTGTGTATTCATATATATACATATATATACCTTCCTTTCTTACCATAACATCAATGCCTAGTCTGAATGTCATCGTTCAAGAGTGGGGGAAGAACCAAACTCTTCATATGAACAGGGCTGGACAGGGAATGTTAGTTTCAGCAGTTTGCTTTCTCCATTCAGATTATTCCTATCAAAGCTCAACTGGTAATTTGAAGCCAAACTACAATAATAAGGATCCTGTGGTCCTTCAGGATGGCTGCCTTCGCCCTCCTACCTGGGCCACTTAGACACTTGACATAGGCTACAAAATTAGTTACCCCACTCAAGGCGGGGCAGAGCACGGAAAGGGCACGAAGACCACAGAAAACCAAGGCATTTTTTCCAAATGGTCAGTTTGAAAAAACAAACAAACAAAACAACTTTACTCAGAATCAAGAGAAAATACTGTGAGAGAGTCAGGCTGCGGGACCGCCCCTTCTCAGGTCCCACAGCCTCCTCATTTGTTCATAGAGAACAGTGAGACGTGAAGGCCGGCAGACGTGTACTTGGGATGGGGGAGGGTACTGATCACCTGTGGGCACAGATCAAAAGGGCAGAGATGCGGAAAGCTGCACCTCTATCCACTGCCACAGCGCAGGGCCTTCTGCTCACCCGCAGAAGTTCCAGAGATAGCCCCCACCCAAGCTTGCACACAAAACATCTCCTGGCTCAACTGCAGCCAGGACTCTTTGAAGGGCAAGTTGGGAAAAAGCCACAAATTTTCCTTTTCCAAAACAGAATTCTTGCCTGCCCACTGGTCAAGTTCTTATTTTCAGCTCACTTCTGTTGTTGTTTTTTTTTTAAAGAAAAAAAACCAAAGAGAAGGCAGGTGTAATCTTCCACACTTGAACCAGTCCGCGGCCAGCCAGGACCTGCTGGGAAGGGGCCCCTCCAGGATGCATCGTGCCACCTCGATCTCGTCATCACCTGGAATTTGAGAGCACAAGCCCTTTACCAAGCCGCCACGCAACCGCCGGTCAGCTCTCATCGTCCCACAGGAGGAGCCCAATTCCGGCTCCGGAGACACTGGCAGTGAGGGGCGACAATCCCCGGACCACTGGGGCTTCACCCAGGGCTGAGACCTGCCACCTCTCTCAGACTGAGACGCGGCGAGGTTCTCATCAACTCACATCAGAACATGAATCCACTCCATCACCAAGAGTCACCTCAGGGCACAGTCTCATCCCCTCCTAGGGGGCTTCTGAAACGCACATCTCTCTGACCCAAGCAGGTAGTGACACGTGACTTGAAGAGAGGTAAAGGGGGACAGGGTGGGGTATGAGGAATGAGTCACAGGACAACTTCTCGGCCCTCCGTGACACTGTATCTATGGGGGGCGAGGCACCCACACCCCAAACTGTACCTGGAGATGCAGGAAAAGGGGGGGGGGGGAAGGGAACACAGTCACTTAATGCTTCGCTCATGGTTCTCCCCTACCCTGGTTGTGTCACCAAGTTCTCGGGCGCAGGCAGGGCCTGCTCTAGCTTGGGGAGCTGCTACTCTGGGAGTTTGGGGAGTCCTGCTCGTTGATGGTGTTCAGCAGCAGGCAGGCAGGCAGCCGCGGCAGGTGAGGGTGCCCGGGCTCCTGGGCCTGCTCCTCAGAGGGCTGGCAGAGCCCTTCCTCCTCGTCGCCAGGGGGCCGCACGTGGCAGCTGTCACAGAAGTCCAGGGGCCCATCCAGAGCATCGTCGATGAGCGCGTTGAACTCTTTGAGGTCGTCATCATGGTGGCCCCGGTTGCACACACACACCTCGATGCCAGAGTCACCTGTGAAGCGGCGACGTCTGCCGGGCGTCTTGTCTTTGCTGTCAGGGAGGGCACCGCCCTGCTCGGAGCTGTATTCTTTCAGCAGCTCCTCCTTACATTCGGAATCCTTGTCCAGGAAGGCCCCAGGGTCCACCTCCCCCAGGCCGGCCACAGAGCCACTGGGCTCCAACCCGGGGGCTTTGGTGGCTGCTGGGTCTGCTGGCACGTCGGAGGGCTCAGGGTCAGCGATGCTCGGGGGTCGCGTGCTGCTTCTGCTGGGCCCGGACAAGGGGCTGCTCTGAGCCCCCTGAGAGCCCCTGGTGGGGTCGGCGCCCGGGGGGCTGCCGCCTGTAGGGCCACACTGTGCAGGCAGCTGCTGCTGGAGCTGGAAGGCACTGTATGGTGGGGGAGGAGTTGGAGGTCGGTTCACCACTTCCTCATAAGGAGGTAGTAAATAGTTTGGCAAAAACCCTAAAATGGGGAGGTAGGGAGGAGAAATTACTGCACTGGCAATTGTTCTAGGACGCACTGCAGGCTCACACTAAGCATATGTCTCGTCCCACCCCCAGCACACCCACCGAGGGACAGCTACAGCTCTCAGGTGCAGGCGGGGCACAGGGCTGAGAACGACTTTGCAGAGAAAGCGGGCCAGATTGGGAGTGACAGATTGTAGCTTCTGCAAATCTGAGAGCCCCTAAAGCTGCTTCACAGGCAAGGACTTCTGCGTGTCTGGAGTTAAGGCAGAGGGTTCAGCAAATGTGGTGAATGGCCAAGAGAGTTCTGCCTGGAAGGGACCTGTTTTCCACATGCACGCAAGTCTCATGTTTCTAGCTCAGACTGCGTCCTCCATCTGCATCCCATAGGCCTCAGGGTCAGGGACCCTAAGTTAAGACTTTCCAGATGTGTATCATGAAGAGAGCCTTTTTCTGGGAGGCTGGAAAACTGTGTTGCCTCTCACCCTAGTGTGGCAGGAGGTGGTCTGGAAATACACACCAAACCTCATCCTGATTCGCATCGAGAGCGGGTGGCTTACCAGTAAAGGGTGAGGGGCCTGTCATCAAGGCTTGTTAAGAACATGCCAGGGGAGTTATCTTTTGCTTTGAGGCACAGATGATCTAATTATAACAGTCCGAATTCATAACTACTTTAGTCTGTAGAACACACAGCAGAATGGCTTTGGACAGGCTGCACTTCTGGGCCTCCACCGACCACTCGAGAGATCAGTGTAAGGAACCCCAGGGAGGGGCTTCCCTGGCGGTCCAGTGGTTAGGACTTGGCATCCTCACTGACAAGGGCCCGGGTTCAACCCCTGGTCAGGGAACTAAGATCCCACAGCATGGCAAAAAAAAAAAAAAAAAAGGAACCCCAGGGAAGTCAGGTGAGTGTACCCTTCAGTGAGTCACTGAGTTTCTTGGTTCTCAGGAAGTCCCAATGCTACCCCCCAGCGCTGCCCCTTTTGTAGCAGCCTGCTAAGGCATATCACGTGGCAGGAAGCAAAATGGGGGGATTTCAGGCCACTGACCTCTAAATCTCAATTCATTCATATAATATACCATAAAACCACCTGCCTAAAAAAATCTGCCTAAACTAAAGGGGCAGAGATGTAGTCAGAACCCAGCCTGTGTGGACGGGAACGGCCCAGTGGCTGCCAGGGGCTGCATCCACGGCGCTGGCTCCTCGGCGCTAAAGGTGCGCACCCCCTTGTTCCCACACTTGTGAGACCCTGCTCTGTGCGGGACAAGGAAGCCAATACCCTGTGCCCACAGTCTATGTGTCCCGGGCGCTGAGGGTGGGGTTTCGTGTACGTACTGAAATAAAATGGCAGCGCTGAGTAATTGTGGGCTTCCCGGTAGGCGATCAGGTTGATTTCATGTTGCCGCTGTTGGGCCTGAAGGCGGTGCTTGGCTCGGCGGTGGTGGCACACGCAGCAGCAGCTCAGGATGATGATGATGGTCCACACGAGCCAGAACCCTGGGGGCAGGGAGGCGAGACAGAGAGGAGTGGGCACACCATGAATGCCAGCTGGAGGGGCTGCTCTCAGCACAAGGAAGCCCAGGGACACTGCGCACCTGGTCGAAGCTGGCACTGTTGGCTCTTGCCTGGTGAAGTTACATTTAGAACCTGTGATCAATTTTCATGTGAGTGAAAGACACGTGGGGCGGAAGAGGGCAGAAATGTAAGAATGGTGACCGAAAAAGAGGTCACTCACTCCGGGGCGCCTCCAGGGCTCCTGGGGGAAGGGAAGAATGCCAAGGCATCTGTGCAGCACTGCTGGTCCTCCCATATTTTAGGTTTGGGGGGCATTAAGTATGCTTACCTTTTAGGACAATGTGCCCTTCCTATCTTAAGAGATGTCTGAGAAAATGCTTCAGCCTCTCTTGGTGCCCACCTCCCCACTCCAGCCCTGCTCAGGCCCACAAGGACGGCTCCCAGGCTCCCCACCAAGAGTGAAGAGCCCCTCAGAATCCCCACATCTCAGCAGATGAGTGGTTGCCGGGGGCCTCGGAGGGGCTACCTGATAAAATTTTTTTCTCTACCATGTTGCCTCCGTCATACAAGAGTCACTGAAGTTAGAGGTGGAAAAATTCTAATTTCCTCAGGCCCATTTCTTCCCTGGAGAGTGTAAACAACTTCCTCTGCTCTTGCCATGAGCTGGTACAATTCCATCTCCCACCATCACAAACAATCCACTCCCACCTCGCTTTGGCCTGCAGCTGCATTAGACTCGGGACCATCAGCAGCCTCCCCTTCTTCCTCCTTGGCTCCAGAGAGCGGTAAAGGAGCAGGGGAGAAGCCTACCGCCCTCTTCCCCAGGCAGATTGTTTCTTCTCATTCCCCACTGTGTTCTCTTGGATCATACTCAGAGAACCCTGGCAAACTGCAGTATAAGACTCCCTCTCCAATCTTCACATGTATACAGAAAAGGCTTCTAATTTTTTTTTTTAATGAATGAGCAATTTTGCTTTAAAAAACAGAGAGAGAGAGAGAGAGAGAGAGAGAGGGAAAAAAAGACTGGAAGGAAAAAATAGTGACATTTTAAGTCGTGGGATTATGAGAAGAAATTTTAATTTTCTTCTCCCAATTATTTTTCTTCTTTCAAATTATAAAACTGGAAACAAAGTTAAAACTTAAAAATATCTGTAACTAATTTTATTTTTGCTGGCTTTAAAAAAATTAACATATTTCTGAGTAGGTTTTAAAATTCCTCTGGGAATGTCTTCATACAATGAAATGATATGAATCATTAAAAAATTATTCACAGAATACTATATTTGACATATAAAGATGTTTCTAATATTAAATGAAAAATTACAAAACAGCATAAAGTATGACCCCAATTTTTGCTTAAGAAAAAAGTATATATAAATGTCCAGAGGGATGATCAGGAAGGTAGTCATGAGGTTATTCCTGGACAACACAGGACAGTAGGTTTTCTGGTACCAGCTCTTGTTTTTGGCTTATTGCCGATAAGATGAACATGTACTTCTTTGAAATAAAAAGAATATTTTTTCTCAATAAAAAAATAATCTGGGGCTTCCCTGGTGGCACAGTGCTTGAGAGTCCGCCTGCCGATTCAGGGGACACGGGTTCGTGCCCCGGTCCGGGAAGATCCCACGTGCCGCGGAGCGGCTGGGCCCGTGAGCCATGGCCGCTGAGCCTGCACGTCCGGAGCCTGTGCTCCGCAACGGGAGAGGGCGCAACAGTGAGAGGCCCGCGTACCGCAAAAATAATAATAATAATAATAATAATAATCATAATCTGAGGAATAATTTTAAGGTGAGTTTTTATTAAATGAGAATAGATTATATTATTTTTCATTTCTCTATTCCTGAAGGACTTCAAGTTTTTCCCATTACAAACATTATGTATATTTTTTATTGTCTGCTTTGTAATTATAAATTTGTGTTTAGAAGTGTTAAGTATTTCTACATCTCTTGTCAGAATGAGTTAATTTCATTAAAAAAAAAAAAAAAGGCTTCCTCTCCCAGCAAACAGATTTGTAAATGAATAAACCCCTGATTTTTTTTCCTGTTTGTACCAGAACACAATATTCTGAAAGATCCCACTGACATTTAGGGTGTGGCCTCTAGCAACACCCAGTGTGTTTCCTTCTGTCCCCCAGGGGTGTCTGGGCTGAATCTCCCCACAGAGCCACCCCTATGGGGTAAGGCAGGATAGCAGTACAGACTTCCAGCCCTGGCAGGCTGGCAACACCACTGTGTAACACCTTTGTGTTTTCAGCACATGTGGGTGTTCAACTGAACCTTCTGCTGAGGTCTAGCAACGGGACAGCAGGTGGAGGACAATGGGCAGAGAATCTCTTCCCCATTTCCCATCAGCAGACAGAAAAACCCCAATCCTAACCAGAGTTCATAAATGTAAGTTGAAGTCAGAAGTCTCCCTTGTGGTCCTTCCCGGAGTCGCTGCTGACATTTGCTTAACTTAACTTGCACTTCTCTCCTTCCAGTGCTCGCCAACTGGAGACTGGACACTGTAAGAGGAGCCCTCAGGGAATGGTTTTGAGGCCAGAAAGGAGCTCTGGGAGTGAACTGGCTTCCCGCTGCAGTCCTGTAACATCTCCTCCAGTCCCTACGATCTGTTCGGCTCCCAGCCTCCTGGGGTGGGGTCACACCCGAAGGAAGCGGCACAAATAAGCACAATGCATTCTGCTGAAGAGCCTGGCTCCAAGCGTATTTTAGAGTCAAGTCAAAAGATTCTGGGCTAACCACTTTTTTATACTACCCAGCATCATCTCACAATCCTTTATACTTCTGTGTTACTTTATAATTTTCAAAGTACATTCTCCCATGAGATAATCAGCACCAAACTCTACAATTTTTTACCTCCCAAGTCATTTTTTCAATTGTTTCTTACCTAAAGGTAAATTAACTTTTAACCTTAATGCTGCAATATATATGATCTAAGGCAAAACTTCTCAGCTATATTATGACGGGCGTTAAAAAAAAAAAATTTATTTATTTATTTATTTATTGCTGCGTTGGGTCTTCGTTGCTGCATGTGGGCTTTCTTTTTAGTTGCAGCAAGCAGGGGCTACTCTTCGCTGCGGTGCGCGGGCTTCTCATTGCGGTGGCTTCTCTTGTTGTGGGGCACAGTCTCTAGGCGGGCAGGCTTTAGTAGCTGTGGCACATGGGCTCAGTAGTTGTGGCTCGCGGGCTCTACAGCGCAGGCTCAGTAGCTGTGGCACTCGGGCTTAGCTGCTCTGCAGCATGTGGGATCTTCCCAGACCAGGGCTCGAACCCGTGTTTCCTTTTAATAAGAAAAATCTCAGGCATTGGTTTTTATGTTGGCCAAATATTTCTGGTTCTCCCCCTTCCTGGCATGTGGGTAGGCTTGAACTTCCTGGTGCCCTTATGATTGTGACACTTTGGGGCAGCTTCTAACTAATAAATTGAGATTGGAAGTGACAGATGTCACTTAGAGGCCAGAACATTTCTTGCTGATGTGAGACCCTCTGTTAGTCTCCCTTCTGCCGTGGCAAGCCGTAACATTCCAGATAGAGACTTCAGGGTCAGTCTGGCGCCAGGGGATAAAGAAGTAGGAACAAAGCTCTCATCCAACCTGTGATGGACATATAGTGTGAGTAATAAACTGTTGTTTTAGGGCCACTAGCAGTTTGGACTTATTACTGAGTATAACCTCTCGCCTATCCTGACTGATGCAGTATCTTTATAGGTTTTTCTGGGGGAAAGGATTTAAAATGTTCATCAGATTCTTAAGAGAATCCTTATTCCAGAAAAAGCCTGAGTTCTATTGAACTAGAAATATAATAGAAAAAGAGGTCTTTTTTTTTTTTTAAGGAAAAATGAGGCAGGGCAGAAAGAGGCTGGGGGAAGAAATGAGACAAGTAGAAGGCATGCCCTTGGCAGAGTTACCCCAGTTATATTGAACAGCACCAGAAAACTCTTATGTTTACTGAAATTCCATCAGTTGCTTCTGTTCATGTGGTATCATGGGTAGAAAAACTCTCCCTACCACGTACCACTTATATGACATGATATAAAATCTCGAGCTGAGTTTTGCATTTCTAATATAGTATCACAAAGTGATAGTGTGGATCAAAACTAGGAGAAAACTAACTTGGGAGCAGAAGGGGCCTAGTGGGGTAATGAGGCATTAGCACAGGTCCAGAAAAGGCCCCTAAGGACTGGTCCAACTTGACGGAGTTAATGTGGGAAGACAGAAGGCATTCTTGGTTTGACCCTCACAAAACGGGTGCTATTGGCAGCTATTCTCGTCAAAGCCATGTCCCATCAGCTTTAAAAGGGGGACCGTCCAGACTGGTACCTATGGAGTTGTACAAACTTTTGATCTTTTCACTAGATTTCACAAACAAGGAGGAAAGTTTTAAAAAGGAAAACCTACTGAAAGAGCCACACAGAGAAAGACAGAAGCATGCCCTTCTCCCCAAACATACACCTACCCACAGATTACATTCCCCACTGACCTTTGAAAGCTGTGACCTCATGGTGGGACGCGTTTGTCATGCTAAGCAAAGTGGAAAACATGTTTTTAAAAACAATCACTGAGTCACGTGCCCCAGAGCTCACTATAAACTTGGGAAAACACCACTCCCCAACTGGCAGGAAATTCCTCATTAGGAAGCCAAAGTATACTGTCAACTAGCTCTCCTTCTACCCCACAGGATGGTGGGTGACCTCCCTGGCCCCTGATAGCTCTTAGCAGGAGCTCCTGACACTGCCGCTGTGGAAAAAGGACTGAATTTGGAAAATGAAGACTTTAGAGGACTTGCAACTTCATCGGAAAGACTGGACAAGTTTCATTTCCTAGCTTTGTGACCTTGATCATTTTGTCTTTACTTCCCTCATCTGTAAAATGGAGAGAATAATGGTTTCTACCTACTTGGTCATTGTGAGGATAACAGAGTTAGTATCTGTATGCAGAGTACTCAAGCGTGCACGTTCGAGACCTTTCACGACCTGGGCCCACCACCCTTCCAGCCTGGCACTGAAGAGTTCAGGAAGGGGGTAGTTTTGTGTGAGGCACACTGACCCCACTACTCAGCTGCAACCAACTGACTGGCTACTTAACCCCCCTCTGGTCCTGAGAAACGGGATATGTGTATCTGGCAGTGTTGTATTTGGGGCGGGCTGAGCTGACGTGTGTGAAGACCCTAATGAGTGCCAGGCACACAGCAGAGTTCTATGCACGTCAGCACCCTCATCTCCCCTGGGCGAGCCCCAAAGCCCAGCCCCATGGCCACAGGGGAAAGGTTAATGAGATGCATGCTCTCTTCCTTCCCGTGAGGCCTTGACCTATGGTGTTTGGTATTCCTCGGCCTGGGAAGTCATTCTACCCTTCCCCATGTGCTTAAATCCTATCCACGCTTTAAGGCCTACCTCAAATGCCACCTCCTCCATGCAGCCTGCCTGAATCCTGTCCAGCTAAAGCAAACTCTCCTGGCACATACATTGCAGTCCTTGCACATACACTCCACTGTCTACTTTGCATTACTAGTGAGGCACATTGTCTTATCTCCTCTCTCTGCCCAGAGACTCCCTTCTTGATGGCAAGGATTCTGTCTCCCCACACGCTCTAACACAGAAGAGGCCACAGCACCCAGTAGGAACTTGTTAGAATTGCAAATTCTCAGGTCCACCTCAGACCTATTGAATCAAAAACTCTGGGACTGGGGCCCAGAAATCCGTGCTTTAATAAGCCCTCCAGGAAATGCAGATGCTTGCCAAAGTCTGAAACCACTGGAATAAGAGTTTGCTGAATAGATGATTGAATGATGACTGAAAGTACAAGTGCCATGAAAATGCATGGGATGATAATAATAATAACGGCCAGGTTCTTATAGCCTCAGCCACGGCAGTGGTAAACAGGACCCTCACTTCTAGACTGATGCAGACCCAGGAATGACCCCTGGCTTAACAAGAGACTGAAAAGACACGGGAGTTAGGGCCCTGGCTGAAGCTTAAGGTCTGTGTGTGCTTGTGTGTCTGTGTAAAGTGGGCTCTGTGTGTGTATGTGTGTGGGTGAGACAGTCCTCAGCACACAGGAAAATTCAGCTAAGTGGTGGTATGAGGGTTGGCAGAAATGGCATTTGTTTTTCCGTGAGGCCTTCCCTGTAGGCAACTATGGTTAAAGAGGTACTTTGACAAAAACCCTGCCAAGGATTTCCTGGCTGAGATGTTTTTCCTTCCAAAGGAAAGAGACGAAAAGAATAATGCAAAGCCCATTACTTTCACATTTCAGGCAAAGTTCAGAGGCAGTTAGAGGGAACAGGGTTCAAAGCGCAAAAGGCACAGTTCTGATGAGAACTGAAAGGGCTCATTCCTACGCTCAACCTCCCTCCTCTGCACATCAGGCCGAGGCCAGGCCCCTAAGAAGGAGGAAAACCAAAGAATTCCAAGAGGGGCGGAACACTCACTGGGCATCTTCTGACCAAAAGGCCGTTTCTGGGCACAGACAAGAGGAAGTTTGGCTTTTACAGTCTCCGTCGCCCCAGAGCTTGGAAAGCATGGGCCAACTGGTACAGGGGTGAGTCCTTCCTCCCCGTCCAGACTCTGGTCTCCATCTGACCTTCTCCTTTCCCCGGCTGACCGCAACTGGAGAGGTGATGAGCCACTGTGCAGCTCTTCCCCTGGCTTTCCTCAGGTCCTCGGGATGAAGTGCCTGGTTCCCAGACTGCCTGCCACCCTGCCACCTGGGTCTCCCTGTCCCAGCTGCCCCACCCCCAGCCCTGGCTTTGGTGACCCAATTCTGGTGGCTACTGAGTCTGCTCTGCCAACAGCCCAGGAGGCTCTGTCAATCTGAGATGGGGGCCATCAGCAACTCCATTCTTTCCGCAACTGATGCCGCCTGGGCCAGGCCCCAGAAAAACAAGCTGCAGCTCTGTGGCTTTTTGGCAGCCCAGCTTCAACTTTTGTTTTAACAAGGGGTGGGAGGGAGAATTTGAGCCCTGTGGTTATCTGCATTTTGAAACATTTAAACACAGACTGTCCACCTGCCTGGCACTTTGTGTTTCTCTAGTGAGTCCCTCAGCCCCACCCCTTCTAAAATAGCACCAACAACTCCAGGCCTGCCTTTGCTGCTGCTTATGTAATACTTGCAGGACTGGTGGGGACATCTTGAACCCTGTTCTCTCCTTGGGGAGGAGTCTGCCCTTAACTACCCCTGAGCCCGTCCTCAAAAGGAAAGGACAAGAGTGAGGAGAGGTCCTGTTTGTAGGACCCACTCCCACTGGCTACAAGATCCATTTGCATTTAGAGGGAGAGGCTTCCCAGCCAATAGTCTAATTTCCTTTGCATTTCAAACAATAGCCCTTCTAGCTGCTTTCTGACCATATCACTGATGTGGGGGGAATGGGGAGATCAGAAAGGAGAAGGGGAAAAAGGGAAGAGATGGTGGTGATGGTAAGGGCATGGTTGACCAGCAAGCACAAAGTTTGTTTCCAAATGGAGGGAGTGATGGGGGCTTAGAATTCTCTGCGGAAACAGTCTACCGTTTCCTCTAGCAACAGACAGTTATGAGAACCACTGCATGCTGGTCACCTGGCAACTCTCTGCCCTTAGGACCCTCCCATCCTCCCCTTCTTTGTCCAGCATCCTACAGAGTCTCGTCTGAGTTCCAAGAAGATGAGAGTACAAAGGGCTTTAGTGACCTCTCCAAGCCTGGGTCACTCCCTAAAGACCACGGCAATGTCACCACCCTTGTGCAACTCTGGAAGGTGCGAGCAGTCCTGGCTGCCACCAAGCAGTGGCAAGACGAGGATTGTATCCACATGGCACTGAGCTGACAGTAACAGGTTAGGTAGACTGGCGAAGCCTCCAGACACTTCAGTTTGTGATCTGGGGAAGGAAGAAAAGGGGCTGAACCTATAGACTCCTTCTCTCCAGGAGGGCTCTGTCGGCAAGGACCTAGGAAAAGATTATCCCTTTGAGAGGGACCCTCAGAAACAGAGGCAGCTCCTTGATGATCTCTGGGGAATTCTGGAAGCCCTGGTGCTTCTTACAAGGAAACGGCATTACAGCCATCCACAGAGAGCAGCCCAGCATTCACAGCAGCTTGGCTGCTGCAAACCTCTCTTTGCAAAGATGACGAGCCTGGGCACCTGGGCTGGCCCATGAGAGGACGTAAGCTGTTGTCACTGCTCAGCACACCCTGGAGAGGGCATCAAAGAGAACCCCATTCAGGAGATTCTGCAGCAGACCTGCTAACCACGGCTTCTTGAGAAGGCTCAGGACCACATTCTCTAGTCTTTAGCGCCTCATGGTGTCCGAAGAGCACCAGAGCTCTCTTCCTCTACAGAGATCGCTTTTAGGACCTGGAAGCAGATTCTGCTCACCAACACTGCCACCAAGAGAATAAGAAAAGGGCTGACCAGCCTATGGTTTCCCAATGAGCAGAGGCAGTAACCGAGACCCTGGGATGCCAAGACATCCCCAGGCAAGGACTTACACCAGAGTTCATAGTAGTAGTTGCAGCACTGAGACTGTCCACAGCAGTGTCCTGTGTCACAGATGTAGCTTTGATTGTTGGTACCCACGCAGGTTTCCTTATCCTAAAAGAAATAAAAAAACACTGTAACATATTAAATTATAGCTTTTAAACTCTACTTTTCTTCTCATCCTCCTCTTACTGATCGCCTGCCCACCTTCCACCAAAACGGTTCGTACCAATGTTTATTGAAAGAAAAGAAAGAGAGAGAGAGAGAGAGAGAGAGATAGAGAGAAAGAAACAGAGAAGAAAGGAAGAAACAGAGAGAGAAAGGAAGGGAGGGAGGGAGGGAGAGAGAGAGAGAGAGAGAAAGAAACAGAGAGAGAAAGGAAGGGAGGGAGGGAGGGAGAGAGAGAGAGAGAGAGAAAGAAACAGAGAGAGAAAGGAAGGGAGGGAGGGAGGGAGAGAGAGAGAGAGAGAGAAAGAAACAGAGAGAGAAAGGAAGGGAGGGAGGGAGGGAGAGAGAGAGAGAGAGAGAAAGAAACAGAGAGAGAAAGGAAGGGAGGGAGGGAGGGAGAGAGAGAGAGAGAGAGAAAGAAACAGAGAGAGAAAGGAAGGGAGGGAGGGAGGGAGAGAGAGAGAGAGAGAGAAAGAAACAGAGAGAGAAAGGAAGGGAGGGAGGGAGGGAGAGAGAGAGAGAGAGAAAGAACCACACAACAACAGCAGGTTTAAGAAAACTAATATGGTTTACTAAAGGGGGAAGAGGATGCGGTACACAGAGCCAACCAGTAAAGAGCAGAGTTCTCCTCCTTTGCTTTCTTTACATCTAAGCAGAAACGCTCCACGTTCTGGTCCTAAACTCAGCCAGTAAGAAGGTGGTGACTCTCCTGTAATAGGCTGTATATTTTAAATAAATCCGGTTATCTCTGTGAAAGTTCCCAGAATAATGAAGGCAGCACGTATTCTAGGATTGGCATCTGGTCAGTCAGTCCATCTTCCCTTCAAAACACATATCTCCAAGGTTAATTACAGTGTGATTCAAAAGAAGGCTAAAAATCTTGCTACTAAAATTCTTTCAATCTTAAGAAAAGGGGTGACTTGCTCAGGTGACCTAGTCCGATTTCAATTTGCTAGATCTTTTTTTGCTTACCAAATGATCTCTTAATAATCTTGACTGGATCTAGGATTCACACTGTCCCTTGTCAGGGACAGCTACAGAAAGGGCACCGCTGAGTAACCATCTAGCATTTTGCCAAATTCTATTCACAGCACTGGTGGATGGGGATGGAGGTGGAAAGGTTTTTTTACATTTCGTAGTTAAGATATGAAATACCCTACCGGCTGACCTAAACTTCAGCCTCAAATGTCCTCTGGGTCACAATGCATATGATGAGACCTAGATCTGGCTTTCAACATTTCTTTGTTCTACAGAAGTAACACATGCAGTGACTGGACACGGTCTTTGTGCCAAGCACCAGGTTGGGTACGAGGGATACAACGATGAATAAGAAATTGTCCCTAACCTCAAGAGGCACAGAGCTAGGAAGGGAAAAAACCCTGCTCAGCAAAGAAACTAAAACCACAGTATTATATGTGCTGCTACTCAGGCTGACCCTGCCCACAGTGTACATCCGGGCGGACGTCTGCCAGTGGAAACTCAAGTCACAGGGTCAGTTCCTGTTCTCTGGGTCTTGCTTTATACTACGCTGTCTGTTTGGCCAAGGGTACAAACAAAGCACTCCAGTGACTGTCCACAGGGCTAGAGGCTGGGCACCTGAAGCCATAAGGACAAAAGAAAGGGCACGGCTACAACCCAGATCCCTGGCTCAGTGTGTATTTCCACCACATCCTCAGGTGTTTCCTGGTCTTTAAGAGTCTTATACCCTGGTATAAAGGGGTTTAGGAAGAAGGAAATATGGGAAAGGCATTTGTCGACTCTGACAATGAGGGTTTCACGATAGTATTACAAACAGAGTTCTTCCTATCTTTGCCTTCCTGTGTCCGCCATAAGTAAAATGGCACACCTAGCAGGTGGCTGTCCAGTGGGATGTCTCCTCTGATGCCTGACGCATGTGGAGAAAGCAGATCTGTGTTCGTTGCTTTTGCTAGAACACACCCTCTCCCTCTTGACTTCAGAGCAAAACACTGCTTTCCTGAGAACATCAAAAAGTTTCCCCCAAGTTTACCAGGCCCTGAAATGCCATTCTTCTGGCCTGGCTCACAAGAGCACAGTTCAAACTGTCCACATAGTTTCTAAAAGAGGCCGGGCTGCCTACACTCTGACACATGAAAGAATCCAGGGACACTTCTGCCTCAAGAAAATTCACCAGATGAGGTCCAGGCTCGGAACACAGGGCAGCCAACTGGTCCTCTGTGAGGCATGAAATGGAACGTGTCTGAAATCTAAACAAGTGGCATCCTCATGACCTACTGGTGTCAGCTTTTCTCTTGGCTCTCCCATCCCCCGAGGCAGGAAGCCCAGTGTAAACAGAACCCCACTCTTTTTCCCTGCTCTGCCTCCACTTTCCCAGGGACAGCAGACTGTGGCAGCATCATTTAACTCAGTTCCTCAAATACTTTTTTTTTTTTTTTTTTCTGTACGCGGGCCTCTCACTGCTGTGGCCTCTCCCGCTGCGGAGCACAGGCTCTGGACGCGCAGGCCCAGCGGCCATGGCTCACGGGCCCAACCGCTCCGTGGCATGTGGGATCCTCCCTGACCGGGGCATGAACCCGTGTCCCCTGCATCGGCAGGCAGACTCTCAACCACTGCGCCACCAGGGAAGCCCCTCAAATACTTTTTACCCAGTGTATCTCATCCCTTGCTTTCCTCCCCGCAAACAGAGTCCCCAAGTTGCCTGAGATGATCTTGGTTGGGAACTGTCATTTTCTGCTGCAGAAGGAAGGAAAGCAGGTAGGCAGTTAAAGAAGACAAGATGTGGGTTCATGGACCTTTAGCAAGGAAGACATGAAGGATTAAGAAGGTAGCAAGATGTGAGCGTCATGAGCTCCTCCAGAGAAAGAGACCTTCTGGTATGAAAGGAAAATCCAGAAGCCTTGTGTTTGGCTCTAGCTCCGCCATTACAGAGGAACGGCACTCTGGACAAGTTATTCAATGGCCCTAGAGCTGGTTAAGATGCTCACTCATGTCTCCTTAAACCCAAAGGGTTTATTAGCCTACCCACCTCCCATTCCCTTTGACAGAAGCCTCGAGCTCCTGTAACCTATGCCTCCTCTCAGTCAAAGCAAAGAACAGAGGTGTACAAATGTTGCTTGGTGCTCTTCCACCCTTCCCTGTATGAGGAAGTCACCCAGAGGACTTTCAAGGATCTCCAGGCAGCTCAAGATACAAATGGTAAAGATTCAGTCAGATCTGGGTTCAAAGCCCAGTTCTCACACTATGCTTATTACAGTGTAACTTGGGTAAATGACTTAACTTCTCTGAGCTCTCAATATCAACGTTATTCTATGAGCCATTATTGCTGGGCATGAAAGACCATTCAATAAACAGCACTCTGCATTCACTTAGAACTATTTCTCAGAAGAGTAAAGTTCACTGGCAAGACACAAGAAGAATAGAAAAAGGAACTAGAGAGAATGCAATGGCAAGTTCAAATATGAAAAATTCTCAGCACTCTTTATTAGCATGCTTTGCTTTTCTTCCAAGCATCTCCAAGCACTACACACATATTATATTGTTCAGGCCAAGTCTTGAAGAGTGGGAAGTTAATATCCCACCCCACCCCCCTTCTCAAGAGTGAGCGAGAGTTATATCATGCACTCCCTATGGGCAGGAGCTCTGTCTCCTTAATCCCCCTCCCCAACTCCAAGAATGAGCACAGTGCTTGGCACACAAAGGTTTGCTGAATGAAACAATGGCTATGCAGCCTCTGTGAAGGCAGAATGAGCTGGGGTGAATAATACGGCTAGTGTATACTGAGTACCTGCTATGTGCCAGGCACTGTTCTAAATGCCTTACAAGTCTTCCTTCATCTAAACTTGAAAGCACCACTATGAAGAGAGTAGTATAAGAGAACTGAGGTCAACAGAGGCTAAGTCCCTTGCTGGAGGCCACACAGCTAGGAAGCAGTCCAATCTAATTCATCTGACTCCAGAGCCTGAGCTTTTAACTATTAAGCTACAGCCTCCTTGGTTTAAGTTATACTTCTTCACTTGCTTTTTACACTTCAGATGCTTAAATAAATCCACTTAAAAGCCCCCAAACCAAACAAAATCAGAATTTTATCTTTGAGGGAAAAGATACGGGCCCTGCCCTTGTGGAGCTCTTTGGCTTTGGGAACATCATCTACTTGGCAGTGAGGAGGGGCAACATGCTTGGGCTTCCTCTCTTCTTTGTTTGAAAGGTCATTATTTTCACATACTGATTTTCTGAAAAGCAGAATGGTGTTTGTCCCATTGGGGAACACAGGGCCTTCTCTCCTTCCTTCAACATTTACTGAGTACCTACTCTGCACCAGCACTGAACTAGTGGTGGGGGACACAATGGGCACATAAAAGGCCAAAGCAGTCATGCTCTTTACCCTCATGGAGCTTAAAGTCTAATGAAAGATGATAAAGTAATCATACAGATAAAACTGTAGGAAGGAAAAATACGTGATTTGGTGAAAGCTTACAATAATTAAGAACTAGGAACTAGTCAAGGAGGTCCAGATAGCTGTGAGGAGGGTAAGCTTGAACTGAGATTGCCAGGATGGTTAGAAAGTTAGTAACTAGGGAAGAGGGAAGGGAAGAACATTCCAGGAAAAGGAAATGGTACAAGCAAAGCCCTTTAGCTAGGAAATGGCTGAACAAATAGGTAAGGAAGTCAGGTAAGCAGGGACAAGATGAGATTTGCATTTTAAAGATACTTTTTCCCAGGCAATGTTCTCATTTGCACAAACTCCTGGCCCAAATATGCTAGAAACGTAGACCTGTCATAAAGAAACTTTGGGTGAATAACACAAGCTCTTACGCTGAGGTCTTTCACCTCAGAATGACTGTGATGATGACCATCAAGATCCTCATTTGTTAAACGTGTGCCTTCAGCTCTGGTACTGCGGTGACCAGCTCCAAGAAACGGGGCACATATGGTTACCAAACAAAAAGCACAGGTGTGAAGAGGCAGGA